AGTGTTACTTAGACTTCAAAGACAACTGCTCTATTCAATCTGCTGCAAATTAGAACAAAATCAATTAGTTTTGACAATATATAACAATTCCACAAAGTAAAATGTTACAGAGAAATACCAAAATTTTGTAAGTGGTAATTAACAGCACAGAAATTATTGTGCTTGACAACATTTTACAAACTTAAACTCCCAGCACAGAACTAGCTGTTCAGAGAGTATACCGGGAATTTGGAATCACATTCACTGTTAATTTTAATGGGAAGAAAATTGACAGTGGAGGTTGGTGGGTGTGAGTGTTTGCAGCTGAATTTCTGGCATGTTCACAGCAGGTGAAGGTCCACATTGGGACTTTGAATTAATAAAATAACTCAAAGTTATTGTCTTAAGTTGTTATCAGCTTGCACATAACCAAGATGATCTGTTTTGTTTATTGTGCCACTGTGATGGGTGGGGAAAGTAGCAAAAAAATGCATGAAATTCTACATTGCAGTTCCAAAATATCCTACCTAGAAAGATCATAGGAAATACATAAAGGAAACACACAACAGCAGTACCAGATTCCTTGCAACTAAAGGTATAAGTCAGAAATGGGCTCTTGAGAAATGGAGACAACTGTGAGGCTGTATCAAATATGAGAAACCAAAGGGATTTAAAGTATTTGGTCATGAATTCCCAACTCTTCTGCTGGATTCTGACTATGTTCTGCACCCTGGACAGCTTTTGGAGTTTCTAATGGTTTCATTTTGGGGTGAGACTTCTGTCCACCATGAACAATTATGACTGATGTGAAAGGGCTAGGCAAACCAGTGGGACTCCTTGCACTGTCTGTTCCTGACTCAGAACGAACTGGTGTAAACCTAGAGGTCAGTGTACATGTACTGACCTCTTTGAGTGCTCAGTGATGAAAGATCTCAATCAGGAAAGCTAGTTTATGATTTGCTGAATGATGAATTTCTTGCTAAATAAATGTGTGTGAAATGACATAATGCTACATACTAGGGCTAGTGTGTCACATTCTGTGTTGGAGTAGTTGGCTTGTACAGTTAACAGGGCTTTTGAATCAGACACAACACATTTTATCTTTTGCTAGAGACATTGCATAGGCCTTATTGTGATCCAGAATATGTCTTTTGTGGACATATTGTGGTATCACAGTACGCAAGATTTTGTTGACAGAATTGAGAGAATCAATGATGTATTAGTGGTTGCCTTGCCACACACACAGGGGATGTCCTCCTTGAGAAAATCTCTTAGTAGGGATATTTTTTATTATGAAGTTTGGAACATATGATAAGAGGAAGTTGAAATATCTGAGGCAACGTCATAGATCTCTTTACCTGTGTTGTCAGAATTTGGTTAAAATCCTCAATCTTACTTGGATCAGGACAGACTACATGGGCAGAGTAAATGGAACAGATTAAGTTGATCTGGTTGACACTGAGCTTGCATTTTGCACTGTTAGAAGTCAAGCCATGTCATTACACTCCTGCCATCAATTGGAAGAAGTTTGTTGTCATGCTGTGCCTTTGTCTTACCCTTGACCACAATATTGTCAGCAATGCAAAGACAACCAGGTACGTTATTAACGAACATATCTGTTTATGTGCTGCTAGAATAGATCTTGACTTACTGACAATCCAATTAGTAACTGTTGGAAACAGCATCCTCCAAATGGCACTCAAAACGTCATGAGCTCCTCTGATTCCTCCACTAAATGGACTGACCAGTAGCCATGCTTTGCAACTTGTTTGTAAAGGAACATGGTTCTGGAAAATTTAGACTTTAACTCTTTTGTCATTTATGTAAATACATTTCAAATGAAAGGTTGAGATGCTCAGGATGTAGGCATACTTTTATGGTGCTATTTTTTTTGTTAAGATGCATGTATAAAGCTACATCAGTTTGGGTAGTGGTTAACCTTCCAAATGACATCCCGTTCAGTTAGGGGGTTCTGCTATAACGTGGTAGCTGCGTTCCTGCGCAACATCACGTTATAGAAAATTGTGTTACAGAAATAACGGGCCCTATGGGAAAATCAGTATTAGGGGCAGACCACTGAAAAAAAAAATTGCTGAAAATCACTCAAAACAAACTCAAAAACCTAACACAAAGGATAGCACAGTTTGAATAAATGATTAATTCATATCTAATAATGAAATAAAAGTAAATTTAACACCTTATCTTGAAAAAATGTCAAGATGACTTGATGGGGGAAGGAGGTTTTGAGGTAGATCCATTGTTAGTGCAGGGGCTGAGGGTCGTCAACATCATCATCATCATCATCATCACCTTCAGGTGCAGTTGTGGTTGCAGGGTTAGGGTGAAAAATAATTAATCCAGAAGTGGTTCATTGTCTTCTGGCTGTTTCTTGGGGTTGGCTTAAAAAAGACATCCAGTTTTTGCTGCTTTGCCCTTTTTCTTCTTTCATGAAGAAGCTGTTCATAGGGTGCAAATAAGATCTTATTCCACGAACTGCTGCCCTGCTGCGTTCTGCATTGTGATCGTTGTCCTCTAAGAGCTGCAACTCCTTCCCAATTTCCCTCAGGATAGAAGTCAAAACAGAAGTGGAAAATTCTTGTCGTGCTGCTTCCTGGACTTCATCTTCTTCATCTCCAGCTTCCACTTACCTCTCAGCAACAAGTTGCTGTAGCTCAGCTGTAGAGAGGTCTTCACAGTGAGACTTTAGCAGCTTTTCAACATCCTCACTCTCCACTTCTTCAAATCTAACTTGCTTCGCAAAATCAACACAATGGTCTTTGATTCTTGGGAGCCTCTCTGACAGATCAAAGGTTTTTAAACTTTTGGAAAAAATCTGGGAGAAGCTTCTGCCAAACTGCATGCAAGCAGTCCTTACTGACATCACCCCAGGCCTCTTGCATTCTTGATGTTAAAGCTCTTCCAAAATTGAAGAACACTGTCCTTATCCCCCTCAGTAGCTGCAATCAGTCTCTTAAATGTGCGCCTCAAATAATAAGCTTTAAAAGTTGCTATTGCACTCTGGTCCATGGGTTGAAGGAGAGAGGTTGGAATCAATGGAATCACGTATAGCCAACACAAGTTCACATTTTAGAAACAGCGTTCCCCTATTTGTCAGTTGTGCTATAGCCAATTCGTGTTGTCAGAACACACCTTAAAGCAGAACCCCCTGTACTGCTTGAAGCTTCTCCTGAATGGACACAATGCATTTCCTTAGCGAATTAATAAATGGGGTTACATTATCCTTAAGATGCAACATTTTATAATCTCTAAAATAGCCAATTGTGCTGAAATGAGACCATTGACTGATTCAGTTCTATGTTGTGTGGTCTCTCTCCACCGCAGTGGGTGTGGTTTGAATCTCATGAATTGTGATTACACAAAGATCTATACATACTGGTAGTCCTACCTTTGCTGAATCAATGGTATTTATCAAGTAGGAGATTTTGGGAAGCCAAGATGAACTTACATATTGTCACCATAATGTTATTGTGCCAACGCACAGAATCGATGATCCATTGTGTACTGTGAAACAGTTTCTCATAGTTGTACCCTAGAGTGCCATTTGCTGGGTACGTTTCCTTCAGGGTGTGCAGTGGTAACATGTTGGCACTTGTTTCTGTAACAATTTTAGCTTGTAGGGTGTTTCATCCTGACTTTTTAGGACACATGGTGTTCATGGTTGTAAAAGCTTCTGAATGCCCCATACCATCAACATGTTGTGTGAGGTTAATGTTATAGGAAGCTTGGTCATCTTTCAAAATTTCATTTTCTCTCAGTTGACTGTGCACTTCATCAGAGTTTATGCTTGTTCTGGATACTTTCCCGCAGCCAATGTTGTATAGTTTTGTTGGTCACCTGGCATCTGGAGTCTAGGGACTGCTTTTACCTTTAGAACCAGATTTCCTGCATATGGGGGCCTAATGTTATTTGGTGTCACATGATTTGTGAATGTGAAGAAAAGCTGGACAGCCTTTGGGTAGGTGGAACAAATTGCATCTGTTCAGATCTTGAATGTTAGGTGCATTTTACTGATATTGTGATAGACTTGTCTGCACCCAATGCATGTACTTTTTGTTTGTCTGCTGCTATGGCTTAATTCTTGCATCCATCTTTCAGCTAGCCATCAATGTTATGGGCCAGAGATAGTAGGAACTGCAGATGCTGGAGAATCCGAGACAACAAGGTGCAGGGCTGGATGAACACAGCAGGCCAAGCAGCATCATAGGAGCAGAGAGGCTGACG